ACAGAGAGGAAGGGAGAGAGATAGAGAGTTAGAAACATCGATGAGAGAGAAACATCAATCAGCTGCCTCCTGCACACTCCCCACTGGGGATGTGCCCGCAACCCAGGTACATGCCCTTGACCGGAATCAAACCTGGGACCTTTCAGTCCGCAGGCCAACGCTCTATCCACTGAGCCAAACCGGTTTTGGCTTGTTTTTATTATTTTATCTTTTGATTTTATTTTTTCCATTACCATTTATCCCCTCTAGGCCCTCTTCTACTTCCCCATCCCCCTCCCCCTCATGATGCAATCACCACACTGTTGTCCATATCCTTGAATTCTCTCTTGTTTTTTTTTTCTTTTTTGCTCAATCCCTTCACCCCCCTGCAACAACCTGTCTCCCCTCCCCCGACCACCACCACTAGAGATGTCTGCTTGCTCTCTAACTCTGAATCTGTCTCTATTTTGCTTGGTAGTTCAATTTGTTCATTAAACTTCACATATTGTATAAACCTTTTGAATAACCAATTACATTCTCTGTTCATATTATATGAGTAAGCTCTCCATTGTTGTAAACTCAGTGTTCCTAATTTATCATTCATTCTTTCTTTCAACCCAGCTAGTATGGAAAATATTTTTGATATAGCATAGTTATTTATCTCAAAATTCTCATAATACAGGGATTGGCCAAGGTAGGTTTATAGTTGTAAGTATGTGAGTTTATTCTTGTATTATTATTTATTAATCATCGTATTATTTTCCATACAAACAACTGTAGACCTACTTTTGCACACCCCTGTATTTGCTTAAGCTCTTCTTTTGTCCTGGCATCAAATATCTATCTACTAGGAATTTACAAAAGCAGATGGGAATAGCAGCAAGAAGACTTATGGACTGTAGCTGTTTCTTCCTGTTTTGAGCAATCCACAATAAGATTTCTTAGACAACAAAGTAGTTCAAAAAATCAAACATGGAGAACAAAGATAGCAGCTAACTATTGGTTTTTGAAAACCAATGTCAACTTTCTAATCTGCCACAGAGCTAACTCTAAAAGGAAATAAATGAATAAAGAACATTCATTCCATCATGTGCCTACTATCAGTGAATTCATATTTCAGGTCAATTGTAATCTCAGACTTTTGCTAAATTATTTAGTCTAAAACATTTTGAGCTCAAGGGTTATTCAGAAGTTTTTAATTTAGCTTCTTTGTTGGCCATGGCAATCCACCCAGTATTCTGAGTGATTCTGAGTGAAACCACCTTAGGTTTCAATATAACTGTTTTGTTTGAGGCCTGTACTTTTTGCTTATGACCTCCTGCATTAAAATTACTTTTTTTATCTTGTTAATCCTTACCTGAGGATACTTTTTCCATTGATTTTTTTAAATAGAAAGAGTGGCTGGAAGAGAGAGAGAGAGAGAGAGAGAGAGAGAGAGAGAAGGAAACATCAATGTGAGAGAGACAGACACATTAATTAGTTGCCTTATGAATGCTCCACTACCAGGGCCAGAGATCACACCTGCAACCCAAGTACATGCCCTTGACAGTTTTTCAAACCCACCACC